CTTCCGAATAGTTATACGTCGAAAATGACCGACTTGTTAAGTAACTAGATTACTGACTTGTTATATTATTGATTTGCAATGTTAAAAATTCAAAGAAACTCGTATCGTTTATTTCTGGAATTAGAACAGTTTTTGATCAAGCGAAAAAAAATGAATCGATAAACGAGAGAAGAGAAGAAAGCAGCAGCGAAAGATTTCCACGTTGTCCTAGATGATAATAAATTTCTTCCGAATAGTTATACGTCGAAAATGACCGACTTGTTAAGTAACTAGATTACTGACTTGTTATATTATTGATTTGCAATGTTAAAAATTCAAAGAAACTCGAATCGTTTATTTCTGGAATTAGAACAGTTTTTGATCAAGTGAAAAAAAAGAATCGATACACGAGAGGAGAGGAGAAATTGACAGATCACCAGCAGTGAAAGATTTTCACGTTATCCTAGATGATAATAAATTCCTTCCGAATAGTTATACGTCGGAAATGAACGAGTTGTTAAGTAACTAGATTACTGAATTGTTATATTATTGATTTGCGATGTTAAGAATTCAGGGAAACTCGAATCGTTTATTCTGAAGTTAGAGGTATCGCAGGACAGTTTGATCAAGCGGGAGACGAGAAGTCCTCCTTGGACTTGCTTACTTCTCACATTTTACTTTCGCCGCAATCAGTTTTCAACCGATTTCCAATGAAGCACTTTCCCTCCACCGAACGAAACGCAATTTCCGATCGTGCATTAGGGGCGGATCGTCGCGAGGAGCGCGGAAAACGGTGGAAAACCGACGACGACGACAGAAGCGGAGGAAACTCGAGATGTAATTCTGACGTAGAAGAAAAGGAGCCTCGATCGAGTTCACGGGGACCTCGTTTGCGAGATTAACGAGTCCGGGACTCGGGGCTCGGGTAATTCCAAACATCGCCGACAAAAGGTGCTCGAGACGGAGGGACTTAACAGCGGGGGTGAGAACCGGCGCGTCGAACGGAAGGAGACCCGAAGGAGACCGGAGAATTCCAGGCAGTTGAACAATCGCGAACATCGAAGACTGGTGTAACAGTATCGCGTTCGAATAACTTGCGGTCGTTCGGGCAAGTTGCTCGTTCGATTCATCGACGGTTTCTTACTCGCTTCTCTGCCAGCGAGAACCGAGAGAGAAAAAGTCTTAATTCGCCATAATCTCGAAAGGATTCCGAACTGAATTGGAGAAGACAGACGAGATCGGCTCGATGAGAATCTCTTGTTGTCACGGTTGTTCCTTCTCGTTTCTTTTTCTTTTTCTTTTTCTATCGCGTCGAAAAGTGAAACGAGGGAACGAGAGAAACGATTCCCTTTAAGGTGGTCGCGAACGTTTATCAGCGTTCGATAACAGCCTTGAGAGACAAAAGAGCGTCGGAAGCGAACGAGTCCCGAAGTTGGAGCCGATCGAACGAATAGCCCTAGCCTCCGTCTCTTTCTCGTCCCGGCTCTCGTGTAACAGCCGGGAATAAGTTCGAACTAGTCTTGTACCATCGGCCATTCGCTCCTTCTGCCCGAGACCTTTTCACCAGTCCCGGATTTATTGAAATTTTATGCGGTAGTCCGATGAGGTCCGGCTCGAAGCTTTTTATCAACGACTCCGGAGACTTGGCCCGGACCTTATATTACTCGGGCTACGATTCTCAGCCAGTCGATTCGTCGGTTTCGCTTCGAGAAGCCGATTTCTCGCTTATGCGAAGCTTTCGACCGGCCATCCGGGAATATTACGAATAAGGGAAACTCCCGTCTCGGCTTAAATGCAAAAGCGTAATGACATTCCGGCGAAAATGGTAGATTTCTCTGGCAACGAATAATACAAACCCGTGCGTTATATCGGGCGCGCGTCCTCGAGATCGGACTGTTTGTCTCGCCAATTTAATTACGTCCGGGATTACGTCTATCGATTTATCACAAGCGAGCACTTTTCAATTACGCACATTAAACGTTAGCGCCAAACGGTGATAAAAGCTCGTCGAACAGAAACGCGACGATCCCTTTCGATTTGCATTCGAAAATTTAACCCGATCGAGAGTCTCGATTCACGCAAGTTACGCGGGAATGAAACGCGACGAATTCCGGTTTTCTGGTTTTTCAAAAACACGAGACAAACGCTATCATGTTTCCAAATCTCCTTTCGAACTTTTTCCATATAAATTGTAGTCCTTTCGTACAAATAATTTAAATATTTTTATAGATAGAGACCAATCTGACTTACGTCGATTTGAACTGAAATCACGTAAGATTTTAAAAGTCAGACAGACTTGATTATTAAACTTCTACATTCAAAGTTTATCTTAATTCAACATCAACCTTCTATAAGATCTATAAAAAAATATAACGCTGTTATCCCTAAATTAATATACTCTATTAATTTTAAATGATCAAATCAATTTTCTTTAATTAAAGTTTTTTCTAAATCAAAATTTATTAAATTTAATAGCTCCCGTTTCTTTGGCCAAAAATCACGCCAAAAACTGAATTCATCACGTTCATCCCGCATTTCTGTACTTGTAACTGTTATCGCGTGCATTCAGGGAAATTTCAACGTAATTTTACGCGTATCGTTCACGAACGCGAGTCGAGGTGAAACAAGCCTTCTACTACTCACCCTAGGTTATGGTTGTCGGTATTGTCCGGCGCGTCCTCTGTCACCGAGTCCTGAGTGAGGGGACCTTGAGTGACGTCAACCCCCATACTGCCTAGATCCAACGTGGCGTACGTTCTGCGTGCTTGCACCCTCGTGCCACCGCCGCCTCCGCCGCCGCCGCCGCCACCGCCACCGCCGGTCACTTCGCCGCTTCTGCCACCGTTCCCGACCAATTCCTGATACAATTCATCGTACAGAGAGCTGCCGTTCTCGTTGCTGTTCAGAGCATCGTCCAGACGAGCCGGGTCCAAGTGATAGTTGGGATTCTCGAACGAGAGAAGACCGTTTTCTGAAACGAACAAAGGCAGAGATTTGTTTTGAAACGAACGCGCGGAAACAGGTTCGTTGTAGATTCGTGAGTGTATTTTAAGGGCAGAGTTGCTGGCTGTTCAAAGGCGAAGCGAAAATAGTGTTAATTTAACCTTTTCACGGTCGAGTTGGTGGAAGCGATATTGTAGCCGAGGTTGTAAAATTGTAATCAGCGATCGAAGTTTGTAATTTTCGATAACCGATGTGTATCGAGAGATTCGCTAGTGCGTTTGACGCAATTGATACAATTTGAAATTGATTTCTGTCTGTATGCTTCGTTACATCGCTTTCACTTGAAAACAGTTTCAAGTGGAATTGTTTCTAGACTTTGGCAATTGTGAGAGAAAAAAAAATTCTTTACGTTGCACTGTTCGAAGGCCACGCGATCACTTGGAAAAACTATTATTCGTGTGCTGCTAAATTGTCAGACAACAGATTATTTTTGATAACCGTCAGAGTTGCGTTTGACATGATTAAGATGAAATTGATTTCGAGAAGATAAATGTGTGTCTGTATATCGCTTTCACTTGAAACAATTTTTAAGTTAAGAATTGTTTCTAGACTTTGAGAGCTAACTGCTAAAAAAGAAAATTTTTCCAAAATTTAAGAAAAGAAATTCGGTCCCAGGCTGAAGCGGAAATTGCTACGTTGCACTGTTCGAAGGTCGCGCGGCTACTTAGAAAAACTATTTTTGTAAAATATACGGCGGACTCGCGTGTGCTGCTAGATCGTCAGACAAGAGGCTATCAGATAGATCAGTAGCGGAGGTCAAGGTTCAGTTTCACGAGGGTCTAGCTGTCGACGGTGAAGCGTGTAAAATACTATCGTCTATAGAAAAGAAGAGTTTTGGTCGATTGATGAGAAACAGTGGCAATGGGACGGGAAGAAACAGTCGGACAAAGGAAACATATATACGCGTTCGAAGCCCGGATAGAAATAATCTGGCGATCGATAGCTCTAGTTTGGTGCCGTTCGCCGCGGGGAAAAGCGTGCTCGACGCCGCGATAACGAAAGCGTCGCGATCCGCTCTTGGTACGCAACGCGAGCGAAAATAAATCAACGAAAGGAAAATCGAAAGACCGTTCGAGCGGTAAATAGGAAACGAGGAGGCAAGGGATCAGTCGCGAGGAGACGACTTCGCGAGCTAAAATACGATCGAGGATCCTCGAGGGAGAGGATTGGGAAAGACTCTTCTTCTCAATGGTGTAAGAGGATGTAAAACATCGATCGGTCGATCAAGTACAAAGGTTTTCGAACAAAATCGAAAAGCGGCGAAAGTGGATGAAATTCAAGCTCGTAATGACGCGCAGAGGGGAAATGAAAGAAAGAGAAAGAGACAGTTTGTATACCGGTGATCGGTGATGACTACGATATTCTTATATACTTGATATTTTGTTATAGTTAGCACGATACGTTTGCGCTACTCACTGATGATCCTTAGCAAGACGACCGTCGCTAGAAGTACGTTGTACAGAAACCGGCAGAACGCATCCATGCCGACGATGCGTCGCCGGTTGTCATATTGTCAAAAAAATTTCTCTCGGATAATCGTGAAGGAATCGTTGCCAAGAAAGAAGCTCCGTGTGCTTATCGACAATCTATCGATATATACATGTACATACACACGCGCACACACGGTGTAAATACACGCTGGCTCGTGTAACATAGAGAACAGCACCGAGGAACGTGAGTGCCTGTCCTCTACGTGTGCACGTGTATGTACATGGATTCGTCTTAGACGAATCTCCTTGGCCTCCTTTGTCCCTTCCTTCCTTCCTTCCTTCCTTTCTTCTATCCTTGACTCACTCCTCCTCTATCTCTTCTGCTGTCTACCTATCTCCCTCCTGTTCCCAGTATTGATTCAACCGCGAGCTTTAAGCCCCCGTGCTTCGAGAGCCCGAGCTTCTTTCGGTCAAAGGGACGCGGCGAAAACCGCGCCATCCACCTTAGTAGCCGCGCTCTCCGCTACTTTTTTTCGTCAATTAAATCTAGAACGGACCGTTCGACGGACGGGACAAAAACGGTAAACGAGCTAAATAAGAAAGAAAAGACAAAGGGAGACGACGCGGATGATATTAATCGAATGGGATTAAATCGATCGGACGTACGAGAAGGACGTTGCAAAGCGACAGATCAAAGACGTGACGTTCGTTTGTTCGGGGTTGGCAAATTTTTCCTCGATACCGTTTCCTGCGGTAGAACAATGGATGCCATCGGCATCCGAGCGATAATTAACCGATCGAATTACTTTCGTGCGAGCCATCGAACGAAAGTTGTTCCTCCTGTACCCTTTGGCGCTATCTCTTTCGTGTAATTCGACGTTTGTTACGACCCTTGCCGATTTCCATCCACTGCAGTCATACTTCCGCCCCGGAACAAAGGGGTAATCAGTTCTACAGCGTTTCATCTATCTCTGACACGCGAACGGTCATAAATCTTCCGGCGCTGGCCGATTTTACGAGTCGCCACGTCGAAAATTCTGCCGATCGACGCGAAGAGGGGGAGTGAGGGGAAAAAAGACGAGCTCGTTCGTTTCCAGGTGCTCGAATTCTTGATTATCCTGCAATTCGAACGGAAGCTGGACGATCCGAGGGGGAAGTTTGAATGAATCAGCAAACGAGCCGAGCATAGCGAGGAGCGACAAATTGGCCGTGTGGCCGCGCGCTCGTCTGTTCGTTACCCATGCCACGATGAGTAGATGTTCCGCTGGCGTGAATGCTAGCTCTCGTTATTTCGAAAGAAAGCGCAAACAAAAAGAGAAAGAGAGAGAGAGAGAGAGAGAGAGAGAGAGAGAGAGAGAGAGAGACAGAGAGACTCGAAGTTTCAACAAAACAGAAGGCGGAACAATTGAAAAGCAATTTGGATTAAATTCACGGCACTGGTCGTTAGCAACAAAAAAAAAAAAAAAAAAGAGGCGAGCCTGACTCTTTAGCAAAAAGAAAGAATTCGTAGTGATAGTTGGCGATAAAGGAACGCTCGTTTAGATTCCATTAACTCTCCATCCCTCCCTCCCTTGAATATTTTAGCCGCGTGATATCGGCGCGCGATCTTTGAACTTGGGTTAATTGCTCAAAGATCGAAGGAGATGAGAGCAGCGGCGTGTAATTCGTAGGTACGACGGTAGAGATCGAAAGGTCGGGAAGATTTCGTTAATTCAATGGGGGTGGTTGGGGGTGACTCAGCAGAAGGGGCGGGTGGTTCGTGCGCGCGACAAATTGGCCGGTGCGACGTGGTAGTCTTACCGCACGTTCGTTATAGATACGGTGGCGAGAAAAGTGCGGTGGTAGCCGCGAGTTGCAGCTGCTACTGGTCTTTCCGAACGGATCTCGTTATTTCGCGGTGGGTGGCTCCATCCCTTTTGAACGAGAACAGAGCAACCGAAGAATACCGAGAACTTTACACTTACGTGGCGCGGACGTCTCCCTCCGCGCCACTTTCACCGGCGAGTACGAAGGGGAACGGGAAGGCGAGCGAGAAAAAGAAAAAGAACGAACGTGAGCCGGATTCGTGGCATCGATTCGACGTTCGAGGCGATCCGAAGTTGGTTAAGAGACTCCGCACTGCGGTGGAGGAGAAAACGGACACGCGGCGAACGAGCCGATGGCAACGACGTGGAACTCTTTCCCGCAACTTTCCAAACCGACCGAAGTCAGCGAATTCCGCGGACCAACGGTTACCGACGCCAAGCCTCCGAATGGAGTGCATTTCGTTATTTCGCCACCCACTCCTCTCCCTCCACCACCCCCCTCCTCACCCGCCGGCGCGAGAAAGAAGAAGAAGAGCCGCGAACAGTCTGCAGTTGCAGGGACGAGGCGAGCGGAACCGGAGAGGTCGTCGTGCGCGAGAGTTTGAAAGTTTGGACACGCTTTCGGCGTTAGAACCGGAAGCAAGGTGGTGGATAGAGAGAACGAGAAGGGCGTGGGAAGGCTGAACAAGGAGGACAGGGAACAAGGGAGGGAGAGAACTCCGTCACCGCCCCTCGATGAGTCACCCTATCGATTCCTCGAGTCTAGGTGAAGTCTAGGGGGTGAAGGGGCTCTTTACCACCGACCGAGTACTTCCACCTCGTTTTTCTTCCCTTTCTTTTCGTTCTTTCTTCTCTCCTCACTGCTCCTCTCTGTCTTTCTCTCTCTCTCTCTCTCTCTCTCTCTCGCTTTTTCCATCGACAACCTTACGTAAGTCCTTCCCACGGAATATTAACATTCACGGACGCGAAACGATTTCTTCTGCCACGTTCTGTCGCGATCCGGAATCGCGAGGGTCACGTATCTTATAAGCAGCGCGGGCGATTGCCTACGTCCGTTCCATCGCTCGGCCGGTGACGGGGGCCATTTTTTAACCGGGCGACGCAATGCAAACCAATTTTCCAGCGAGTGGCTCGACGATGATTCAGCGAGCATTCTAGAGTGACTCTGAATCCGAATCGAAAGTCGGATTTCTCCGAGAAGCAATTCGGCTTTCAAATGGAGGAAACGCATGGCGCGTTTGTTTCGTTCGGTAACGAAGTTCACAGCGGAATAGTTCTCGCCGTGGCGTTATATTTCACGGTACATAATCCAAAATAGCAACCGGGAAGAGATCCTTCGCGGTCTGCGTTTGCCCATTCTTCTCGTTCACGGTTCACCGCGATAAGATTCCTCGCGGCCCGTGGAAATAAAGTGATTCTCGCCCTCCCTGCCCCTCCTCTCTCCCCGTGGTCACCGTTCCACCGGAATTCAACGTTTATTCGAGCTCGGTCTAGCGATTATGCTCCGGGGGTTGGCTGTCGATGCCGCTCGCCACTTCCTCGACCCCTTCCGCTTTTTTTTTTTCTCCACCCTTTTACTCCCCAGTAACAATGGAGTTACGGTCTTAAATGTCTCTCGCATGGCGGCCCACGGAGAATGGGGTGCGAAGAACCCAAGCACCGTGTCTCGTTATGGCGAAAAAAAAAGGCCGAGGCAATTTGAAAACCGGCCGTTAACTTTTACGGCGCGGCGA